GTTTGCTTGTACCGAAGGAAAATCGACGTAGCTAGGGTTTCCTTCTAGGTACGCAGCTTTGAGTCGATCGATACTGATGCTATCTTTCGTACCGTTCTTGTCGACTACATAGTACTTAGGTTCGCGTTGAAGAACTTTGAAGGGTCCTTCGTATGCTGATTCGAGGGGTCGTCGATGTGAGTCTCGACGAACGAAGACGTGTGTACTATGTCGTAATTCGGGTTGAACGAAAACATCAGTTGATTGAGGTCGAGTGTGAGCAGGTTTAACTGAACGCATAGCGTTTGTAAGCCTACTCGTGTAAGAGTTTAGATCCATGTTCAATGAAGAAGCTGAAGGATCCACGAATTCTCCTGGGAGTCGGAGTGTCGTTCCGTAAACGAGTTGAGATGCCGTGTATCCAATGTCAGCTTTCACGGCATTGCGGATACCTAGCAAGACGAGTGGAAGAGCGTCTGTCCACTGTGAAACGTTTGAAGCTGATAATGAAGCTTTTAATTGTCGATGAAAACGTTCTACCAACCCGTTTGCTTGTGGGTGGTAGGCGGTCGTTCGGAAGCGCGTGATTCCTAAAAGTGTGGTCAGACAACGGAAAAGTCCAGATTCGAACTGGCGTCCGCGGTCTGTAGTGATGGTTGAAGGGCAGCCGAAATTTGCTACCCATCGTTCGACGAAAGCGCGGGCCACGGTTTCAGCAGTAATGTCCTTAATCGGTACTGCTTCTGGCCATCGAGTAAAACGGTCTACGCATGTTAGGAGATATGAGTATCCGTTCGAGTCGGGTAAGGGTCCTACCAAATCTAGATGGACGTGGTCGAAACGAGCGTCAGGGGTTTTGAAAGAACCTAAGGGACATTTGTTGTATCTGATTACCTTAGATTTCTGACAGCTTACACAGGAGCGTGCCCACTCCCTCACGTCTTTATTCATGCCAGGCCAACAAAAACGTTCGGCTATAAGTTCGATTGTTGCACGAGCACCTGGATGAGAAAGATTGTGCAACGTATTGAAGACGTTGCGGCGATAGTGTTTTGGTACAATTGGGCGATCCCTACCTGTAGATGTGTCACAGAGTAAGGTTTCCTTACCTGTTCCCATCTGCTTAATACTTAGTTTAAGAGTTGTCAAGGATAACTCATGCTGAAGATCAATGTCTTCTTTTTGAAGCTGAGCGAGTTTAAGAAGGTCGATTCCTTGGAAACTGTTCAAGGAATTTATTCGAGACAAGGCTTCTGCGACTACATTGTTAGCTCCAGAAATATGTTGTATGTCTGAAGTAAACTGCGAAATGTAGTCGAGTTGTCGAGACTCTCGCGGTGAGTACTTGTCTGAAGATGAACTTAAAGAGAAGGTAAGAGGTTTGTGATCGGTAAAGAGCGTGAATTCTCTTCCTTCGATGGAATGTTGAAAATGCCGTACAGCACAATACATAGCTAGGAGTTCCCTACCGAACGTGCTGTACCTAGATTCAGCGTCTAGCAACCGTCTCGAGAAAAATCCTAAAGGTTGCCACGAGTTGTTAACCCATTGTTGTAAGACTGCTCCGATTGCTGAGTCGGATGCGTCTACTGCGATACTAATGGGCGCTTGACTGTCCTGATGAGCAAGCAAGGTTGCTTTAGCGATGTGTTCCTTAACTGTGGAAAATGCATTACGGGCTATGTCGTCTAAACTAATTGATTTCGCATTTCCACGAAGCTGATCGGTTAACGGTTTGATTAGGGATGCGCATTCAGGTATGAACCGTCTATAGAAACTTACGAGTCCGTTAAAAGTTCGTAGGTGCTTGATCGTGGTCGGTTCTGGGTAATCCAGAATGGCCGCCACTTTGCTCCTAAGGGGTCGGATGCCTTGGGCATCAATGGTGTCTCCTAGGAAGTCTAAGGAGTTTGTTCCGATTTGGCATTTCTGTATGTTGACAGTAATGCCATGCCTTTGGAGTCGATCGAAAACAATGTCCAGATGCTTGAGATGCGATTCTCTGTCCGGACTTGCTATTAGACAGTCATGAACATACGCATGTACGAAGTTGAGACCTCGGAAGACGTCGTCTATAAACCTTTGGAAGGTTTGAGCCGCGTTTCTTAAACCAAAAGGCATTCGTAGAAATTCGTAAAGACCGAAGGGAGTGATGATGGCGGTTTTAGGAATGTCGTCAGTTGCCATCGGGATTTGGTTATAAGCTTTAACCAAGTCGATTTTCGAAAAGACAGTTGTACCTTTCAAGTTAGCTGTCAAATCGTGAATATGAGGCAGCGGGTAACGATCGGGAATGGTTTTAGCATTCAGACACCGATAATCACCAGTTGGCCGCCAATCATTGCTGTCCTTTTTAGGGACCATGTGCAATGGGGATGCCCATGGACTATTCGATGATCGAATTATCCCTAGGTCCATCATGTGGTCGAATTCGTTTTTAGCTAACCTAAGCTTCTCGGGAGCGAGTCTTCGAGCTTTCGAAAATACAGGTGGTCCTGTAGTCGTGATGTGATGTGTAACATTGCTGGTTACACAAGGCAATTTCGATTGCGATTGGTATATCCCGGGGTATTTGTCGAGTACTGATTGGTACAAGGGGTCTATGGTGTGCTTAATCGTGACTGGGGATAACCTGCAACCAGAACAAGGAGTTACGCTAACAGATAACTTAGTGTTTCCGTCTATTAACTTTCGTGAGCGTGTGTCGATGAGTAGATTGTGGTGTTGTAACAGGTCTATACCAATGATTGGCGTAGAGACATCTGCAACCACGAAAATCCAGTGTATGGGTTTGCGTAAACCCACGTTAAGGTAGACGTACCTTTTACCGTAAGTAGCGATCGGCTTTCCGTTTGCCGCCTGTAAACTTAAGACAGACTCGCGAAGTCTGTCGTCGGGATTTGCTGGAAGAACGCTAACTTCTGCGCCAGTGTCGACGAGGTAGCGAACTTTCGTAGTCACATCCGTGACGTATAACAGACGGCTGTGTTCGCCGGCTACGGTTGCCGTTAACGCGTGCCGGCTGGGAAGTTTCCCGAAATCTTATTCGTGTCAGTCGATTTTGAAGTCGGATAATTGCAAGGTTTCCTGCAATTTCTGGAAAACTGACCGTACTGGTTATGATACCAGCACCAGTCGGGATTGTCTGTCTCTCGTGGTCGAGAGCCAGATCGCTTACGTGAGGCGCTTCTACGCGGGGTTTTTGACCGACTACGGTCATTGCGCACTCTAAGATATCGTGTAAGCGTGTGACATAGTTCGGCCATGTCAGTCGAGGTCGATTGGGGTTTTTCCTTGACGGAGAAAACCTCGGCCTTAGAAGATCTAGTGATTTCCAAGATTCGATCGGCAGATGCAGCTAGTTCATCTATGGCATTGTTTTGAAATGAAACAAGCACTGCCTGCACCTGTTGAGGGAGTTTAGACAAGAAAAGTTGTCTAAATAGGCCATCATCGAAAGTTCGTTGGCCGATGACTTCTCTCATTCTAAGCAACATGTCCGTCGCAGAACCATGTTGCAAGTCGATGTTATGGAAGAGTTGGTCTAACCGTTGTCGATCAGTTAGGTCTCCTCGTTTTAAAATCGATAGCTTAAGCGTTTCGTAAGGTTCGGGAACATCACTAGTGAACATACTAGGTGTTACGTACCTGTTAAACTAGCGCGGTAACGCCTTAACTAAAGCGAGGAAACGTGTGCGCGAGTCCGTAATTCCGTGCATGCTAAAGTCGGCTTCTGCATAGCAGAACCAGGACTCGATATTGTCGGGCTAAAATGGCGTTAACTGAATCGAAATAGGGGGAATAGACTTAAACTTAAGAACCTTAGGAGAGTGTTCCATCATAGTAATATAGATATCGAAAAATGTCTAAGTAAAATATATCCGAGAAAAAAAACTGCGAAAAAAGTATATCACGATATATAAAATTCAAATAAAGAATAACAATGAATAATAATATTCCAAAATGGAACAGACTCACAGTATATTGACTTGGTGTACCAGATCACGTCGGTCTCACCAATGATGATGCAACGGATATTCTAGTTTTACAACTAGATACCAGTAGCACCTTCTAAATTCGATTGTTCCCAGTCAGATAGAAATCAGAAGTCAGACGAGAAGAGGCAGGAAAGATATATTTGATTCGTCACCAATATATCGAGGACCTTTTCTATGAGCTGGCTAATGAAACGTAGGAGCAGTGTCCCACGCCGAGTCGAAACGTGATCTGGTGCGGATGCATGACCGAAAGCCTTCAGCTAAACAAGTCCACTTAAACACGTGGTCAGCATCCAATGTCGAACACTTAATGAACTATTGATTTTGGGGAATTATTTACAGCTACACCACTTTACTGCATATATTAGTTGTAATTTGATAACCGCATTCACTTAGGAAACGAAACTATACTAATTTATTGTTTTTTTGCGATTGCCAGTATATTCATTTACTTTTATGAGGAAATGTTTTAGATTTCATATCCCACATACGAAAGACTACACTTGCAGTATTGTATCCAAGCAGCTAGCCCATATCTGATAAAGGATACTAACTCACTTGAGCTTGTCCAGCGTGTTGAGACGAAATTAGTGAAGGGTCTTTTTAAACTCCCTTACGATGAGCGCTTGAAACGTCTAAACCGTTCCCCATTGTCCTATCTTAGGACGCGGGGTGACCTTATACTGGCATTTCGCATCTTTAATTATGATTTTGGTGTTAATATGTCTTATCTTTTTGCTCCCTCCAGCGCTGATAATCTCCGAGGTCATAGCAAGAAGATTCACCAACCAAAATCTAACAAACTAAAGGTGGGGTCCCGTCTTTCTCATCTAGTTGTCAATGTCTGGAACGCCGTACCTGAACAAGTGCTATCAACCCCATCAGTGAACATTTTCAAGGAGAAGCTGGACCTTCACTGGAAGGCAATCTCTCAGGACTAACACAGGTCCATCAACCTACTATCCTTATTACTGAAGACTGAGGACTGAAGATTTTGTTTTTTCGTTTCACAGAGAAGGTCTCAAAACTGAGCTCTTTTTGTCCTTGGTAGTTTACGGTGGTAAACAGGTAAATACAAAACGCAGTCTAGTTGACGTTATTTCGTCGAATAATCAGGTGCATATTATTATCCAAGTTTTCACAGTTTCCTGGTCAATTCTTCTGACTCACTTCACTAGGATTGTCAGCGATTTGGAAATCGGGATACCATGAAATTTACAGACTGAAGCCCTCTAAACGGAAATTGTTGATCGTAGTTTTTCGGAAATTTATCTTTGTTGCTGATGCGACTTTCGCGAACACGTGTTTACACTACTCAGGTAACATGAAATACTCAAGGCTTCTTGGAACAAAGCATATGCCTTGTTTATATGTACGTTATATACGTTGAATATACGTGAAAAATGACTCGTTTGGTATCAAAATGTGTGACCTTATCGTTCAGCTACCGTGGATTCTGTACAGTATCTTGTTGTTCGCAAAGCTTGATGTGGCGCTAATATTTTTCTTTCATTGCATATAATATAATTGTAGGCTATCAATATTGAAATAAAGTCAGTGTGCTAGCTGAACCAGGGATACTTTTCAAAACCTGTTGCCACTAAGTAAAATGTAAGTCCCTGAAACTATGCGAGATCAGAAAAGCAAGGATTAATTGCGTCCTTTAGGAATAGTTGTTTTACTTAATAGATTAGTCTGAGGGCATCATGTAAGTAATATGCGAGCACAAATGTCTGATCAGAACCATAGGGATTGTGGCTTCAAAGATTCAAGCTTTACGACATTCAAAGTTACATATTTTACAATATAAGCTTCTGTTTTACTTGATTTCACCAAACGTTAGATACATAACTTGTTGGAGTTTGTCTTATTTTCTTCTTATGGTGTACAGATCGTTAATAAATCCAAGACCCTTAATACTTTTCGGTAAAAAATTAGCTTGTTCCAAATTTTTTTCAGATCGCTGGTGTGCATTACATTCCTAAAACTGTACTTTCTTCCACACGTCCAATAAATTGGTGGTTTCTCATATTCCTATTTTCAGTAACACCTACCTTTCTCGATTTCTTTTATCATATATGTTTTTCTACCGGTCATCTCGTAATATGTTCAGAAGTTTATCAACTTACATTGATGCAATATATAGGTTTTCTGTTGCTCTCAACTTAAAAGCAAAAACAAACTCTATGATGTATCTAATGGATTCACAGTCAACATTTATGTCCTCAATCGGGATACTAAAATCTGTAGGGTTATAAAATGATATGCTAGACAAATTCAGTCATTGAAAATTTCAAATGTCCTGCTGACTAACCGTAAAGGTATCTGAAATATTTCAATCGAGCTCATCGGAAGAAAAATCTAAGAAGGAAGCATATTCGTTTAGCTACTATTAGATATCAGCGATCCCATTACAGCAGTTCAGCTACACTAAGTTATTCCGGTAGGTTTTCAAAAATGATTTTTGAGTAGGTGACAATAATAATTTCACCCTATCCATTTGGATCCTCAAAAGTTTTTGGGGCTTATGTAACAATAGCGCGTAACAATAATAAAGTTTACCACGGGCTAAAAATGGTTCGGGTCTCAGACTAAGTTATACTAGTACTCTCATTGTGGCTTTTAAGATGACGGTGGATAAAATTTTTGTCGGAAAATATAAGAAATTTGGTTCTTGTCATCTTACATAATCAATGGCGTAATTAAATACTATTCCGGATCCTGGCTTTGGTATCACCTTGTATAAAAACTACCCGTAAGTGGAACATGGTTTAAACCTGCGACAGGGCATCAAATACGAGTCTTTAGACTTCGTTTTCCTCCAACTAATTGCGAAATGTTACTTTAGGATTGATTTGTATCATTACTTACTGGTCTGTAGTAGTAAAATAGTTGGTTACCACTTAATTTGTCCTCAGCGTTTCACCAGCTCTGATTTGTTGTTGTCTGATAAAATCTCAGAACATTCAGAAAACCCACTTGACTTTCTCCAACACATCACTCATGACGTAGGCGAGATGTTTGTCTTCTGAAGCGACGCAGCAGTCCACGGTGTATTAATGTGGTCGTAAAAATGGCTCTTGAACTGGAAAACATGTGTAGGTTACTGGAGTTTAATTTAGGTATCTTTGAAGCATTACCAGTTTGTCATGAAACAACTGAGTAAGCATTGTCAAGGCTAAAAATAGGGCACTAGACGAAGACAATTAGTTGGTTAATGAGGTGATATATTTTCACCAATGGAGGTGTCTGAGACATGTGTTGCGTATGTTCGACCACTGTCTTCTATGGTCAGTGTTGGCTGAAGCTAGGGACGGCGAAGCTGAAGCGTGACATCAATCCACAAAGATAGTGACTGTTCAATAGGTCCGTATTGATAGATTCAGAATATCATGTTGGAGTCCGCTCTATAACCGCTATCACTTGTTGGAGCCATCGAGATATAGCTCAGGATTGGTCACTGCCTTGAATTAATACTCATTCTTTTCTCCTAGGTCTTCATATTTAATATTATTTCATTCTTTCTGTTCCTCAAACTCGTTCCTTCTTTCTGAACTGTATTATCCAATATTTAGTCTTCCTCGCTGACATTATGAGCACAGTTACTTCGACCCTCTTGCTATACATCTATACATCTATACTAATTTCACCTCTTACTGATATAGTATAGCGTGAGTCGACACACATCTGTGGGAGGCTCCATGTTGATTATGAATAATTGGTTTTGAACTACCGGGACAATTTCGTCTAAAAACTAATCAAAGCGATTCTTGTATGTGAAACTTTTTATGGCATTAGTATTTAGTGTTAACGTTTGACCTGTAACTATGAGTCTTCATCAAACTAAGGATTTTTGGGATTAATGAATGAATAAATCTACAATTAACCAGGAACAGACACAACTTACTACATTAAGGCTCTAATTGCGTGTTTATTGATAAAGAGAGAAGAAGAAAGTTTAGTTCTTCAAATTTTAGATATGTCAGACAACAATAATCGATACTTACCTGTTGTAGAAACGTTGTTTGTACAATACATAGTATGGACACAAAAGTAGGTATGCTTCAGCATGCGTTGCTTTCCGTTCCCTCTTCCTAGACTCAGTTTTGTCATTAGGACTGTCGTTATGTTTTGCAAACTACGATATTCTCTATCTTCATGGTGATAGGCGCTCAAAATTCCACATTCTGACAGTGAAGGAGTTTTTAAGAACCACCAAATTGTCTTGATATATGCCATAAAAGGTGGGGAATTAAAGCTTCCTCATATATGACCTATTCACTTCTAAATAATCACTAGTATCGCTAGTTTACTTGTGTCTGCTATACATCGTCAGCTATGTTTGTACCTCTTTATTTTCAGTACTATTTAATCTACTTTCTAGTCCTGGATTTTTCATCAGTTGACAACTTGAGTGTTAGTATCTAGTCATAGGCTGTCATTCATATTCAATTTTTCATCCTTATACCTGGTTTTTGACATGTAAACTTAATTAGTTGTTTGTGTTAAAGTGACAGACAGTCCTTTTGTTTTGATTAATATGCATCTATTCGGATATGGATAAAATTGGTTGTTTCATTTGCAGTACTTTACGTCATTCTTAATGTTAAATCCATGATCGAAGTACTATATTTAGACAAATTGCTCTATATAATAGACTAAATACGAAATCGTGAAAAGAGCCACTCTAAGTTGGTATGTGTACCCTCCAGTTTGCTTGATAACTATCATAATTATCCAATTATGACGAAATTTTCACTTTTCAGGTCATTAATCTCGAATATCTTCAGGGGTATTACTGAACTTCCTTTGTTGTTACCATGATTATATAACCGTTTTATGGGTATATTTTTGATGCTGAAATCATTGCTTCTTTCGATGTGTTATTTGTAGTAAATTGGAAAACTATTATGGAAGAGGAAGATGATTGGAGACAGTGTGCTGAATGGTTAAATAGATGTCAAGTTATCCCAGATGATCATCCGGCTTTGGGGCCAGATGGTAATGCGATTCACTTAGTTCAGGCCCTAATGGACGGAGTTGCTTTATGCCATCTTTTAAGCACATTATCAAACCATGAATTGGATATAAGATCGATGAAAGATTTTAGCCATATGCCACAAAATTCTCAGTTTTTATGCTTTCAAAATCTTCGACTATTTACACAATTATGTGAGAAAGAGTTTGATATTCCTAGAAATTTGTTATTTCAACCTGGTGATATTTATCATGCTAAAAATTTTGGAAAAGCGATTGCAACTTTATCAAAATTATCATACTCAAGGAGAGCACAGTTAACTGGAATACCGTATGTCTTCTATTTCTTTTGTCGTTTATTTCCAAACATAGTGGTTTTCCACCGGAAAATTCAAAGCTACAATCAACTCATGAATATTATAATAATCTTGAGGAAATCGCTGCTGCAATGTAGATAATAAAATTCTATCATTATTGTTTTTCATTATTATAATACATCATTTTAGGAATAAATTACCTGACTCTGGAAAACCAAATTATACTCAAATGGAAGAGGAAAATAAAGAAAAATTGTACGATACAGTGGTGTATCAAGGTTCAAAATCTCGTCTAGTAATTTTTTATGTTTCCTTTTATAACTGTTATTCCAAATTGTCAACATAGAATTTGGACTCTGAACCGACAACAGCACGAGCGTATTGTATTCGCGAAATAGTGGATACAGAAAAAAACTACGTAGACGTATTGAAAATGTTAATTGAGGTAGAATAGAAAGTCGAATTATTTATTAATTAATATCCCAATGTAGAAATACAAACATCCACTTATCGGAGTTCTTTCGCACAATGAAATTGAAGAGATTTTCAAGTACATTGAGGTAATCATTATGTAGAAATTCAAAAATATTCGGTGTATTTGCTTTTAATTACTTTTTTTTTCAAAATAATGTTACTAGCGTGCTTTGATGTGGTTTTTCGGAAGATAATTTGAGGCACTATTCTCCAAAACAATTAAGTGTCATGAAACGTAAACATTCCCAGTACATCTCTATTTTTAAGATGCATTGTTTACTCCCAAATTAATGTGTAGTTTTGGTAACATTAAATTAATGTGCTTACAGGTAATACTCCAGTTAACCTACTCTGTGTCTTAGTATGACTTTTCTTACCCCCCCCTCACCAACTCTTATGCTAGTCATTAGAGTACGTAGGAGACTATCATGGTTATGTATCCATTTCACTGGCAACTTAAATTTGAATTCTTAGGTCATGTTTTACAGCGATAAATTAATACAAAGTAAATTGTTAAACAATATACCCATCCTTCGCTAGGACATCTCAACTTCACATGTGGCAGAGTTTGAAAAAGTTACGTAAGACTTCTGTATCCGTGCTAAAACTTCATTACTTTTTATTATTCTATTAGTATCTAAATAAGGTTTGCAGAGTGTTTTTCCCTTTTGATTGGAAGATTCTCCACACTGTTCTCTGTCATTCCTTCATGTGTGAAACTGGCCCCCTTTTCCACCGATTTTCAACCAAAATATAGCCTGTCAAAGATTAAATTGACCAGACCGTCCAAGTGTAGGTCTAGACATTGCTTTCTCCGTATATTACGAATAATAATCTTGATTTAAAATGACATATGTTTGTGTAAAAGTTTCGGCCTTACAATTCATCTCTTTTCAAGGAGCTCGTTACCTTATCAACTTTATTATTTCAAAATAAAAGTTGGGGGAAAATCTGAGTCTTATTTTGATTTTAAATCGACGATCTTATAATTACTGCACTACATTCTTAACTATGAGACTGGATTACTAAGCATGTCTCATTTTAACCTTCATCACTCCATATGATCCCTTGTTGTTACAAAAGAGTGAAAAAAACCCATTTGAGGAATTGAATGCGCTAGCAACCTAGCCGTTTTACCACGTCGCGTTCAAACAGGTTAGCTATGAACACTAAGTAATTAATTCGTGATTAGACAATCTGTGATGGCTTTAATGTACAAACTGTTATTGATAAAAACTACAAATCTACTAATTAGGGCTAATATACTACGTCTCTTTATGCCTAACTTAGGTTTCGCCGCTCCGAAGCGTAATTAGAAGATTTTTGACAACTAGGAGTATTACATACACTTTTTCAGTTTTCATTAGGAGTCTTATAGTCCGTGTGTTGTATTATGATTGAATGTTCACCATTTTCTATCTCTTTTATATTGATAACTGATTACTTAATTGAGTTTTAGTAAGGATTTAATCTCCGTATCTTCACCCCACTCTTAGACTGATCATCCTTAATGACAGTGCAAAACAGTCAAGTTAATCTCACTGGGCCAAATAAAGTTGATTTGCTCACCATGAAACTTGAAGATAAGATGTTCATCTATGAAAGTAGTGGAGAGCTTGTGTTGCTGAATAGTATTAAACTAAGAGTAAAGAAGGTGCTTAATATTCCTAAGCCTGAAGTACTTCATTAGTAGCGTATGGTAAGCATGAAGACTCCTCAAATAAATTACTTCTGTGATACCACTACACTGGATTTGATTTTTAATTTATGTACTTTACAAATGTGCCTTATTCGTTTAAAGCACTATAATTGTGCTAGTATCCCAGTGTAATTCTACTTATAACTTTCGTAGTTCAAAGTTATCTATTCATATTTATGAAACTCAGACCATTTTGGTGTGCATAAGTGTACATGAATAAATGCAAGAAACGAATATTATTATGTGTCATTGTATTACTTTGATACTATAACATTTGTTTTATTTTTCTTATCAATTCATCCAGGAATTACATACTATTCATAGAGAGTTTTTAAGTAATCTGAGTTTGGCAACTAGTGCAACTATGAATTTTCTTAGTCTAAGTGATGTTTTTCTTAAAACCCGAGATAATCTTCTCATATATGGAGAGTATTGTGGTCATTTACAACATGCTCAAAATTTAGTCTATGAAATTATGCGAAATGATGTGGAAAAACGTAACAAAATAGAAGTAAGTTATGATAATTAGTACTGTCATTTTCTTTCTCTTTGTGTATGCGTGCGAGTACTTCCTACACGTCTTATTTATTTTTATCAGATACCTGGGTCTTGAACTGAAGGTATTTAACATTCTCAATAATGTTCTTTATGCAGAAGTACATATTCCATTGCTATGTATTGTATGATGATGAACATTGTATCATTTAGATTTTAGTTATTTTTTATTCATCACTCCTCTAAATTGAATTAACACTGGAAAATAGAGCATAATACTGATGTATATGCAGTAATTCTGTTCGTATTAAGTTTAACAGCACTTGATTACGAAATTTCTTTATATTTTGAACTATTCTCAAAACTTCTTGTTATTTTACATTCTTTGATATTTATTATTTATTATTTATTTAAACACATATATATTGGTACAAAAGGGCACCAGGTACATATGCGCCACACAAAATAATGAAAGTAGGAAGAGAAGGGATGAAAAGATAAGGCGGGCTGAAATGTACAACCAGAAGACTCTTTCAGTTAGGAAAGTTAGAACCATTCTTTATGTAGAAAGTAAAAGAAGGTTGCAGCAGGATCGCCACTGGCTTCTATTCTGAGCCATATCTGATAACGTCTCTAGCCACTGTGTTGCACCATCTCTCGGACCCCAGCCAGGGAGTCGTGAAGAACCAACAGAAGCTAGCCCTTTGCAGCTCTCTTTCATGCCACGACACCATGTCATACACTGACCTCTCCGCTTTCTCCAACCAGTCCCAGGGTCGGCAAATAATGCACGACGTGGAAGTCTCTGGGACGACATTCGTAAAACATGTCCGAGCCACCGAAGTCGGTGTTTCAAGTTGGTGACACCAATTGAATTATCGTCTCTGCGCCCGAACACACGATGCCGAACCTCTGCATTACTAACATGGTGTTGCCACTGGATGTCAGCAATCCTTCGGAGACAACGATGATCGAACACAGAGAGTCGTCTAACATCCTCAACTCGGAGAGGCCAGGTTTCACAAGCATAGAGCAAAACTGCTCTCACCGACGCGTTGTAGATCCGACCTTTTACAGCCAGACTTCACTAGAGTCTTGAATACGGGTCTCGGATAGACAACAAACATCAACATTAAGACCTTCCAAAGACATAGCCAGCCCTATCTGTTGTCTGATATGCATTAGTGTGCGAACGTTGAAGGAAGCCAGCTTGAACGGCGTACGTGGTTTCAGAAAGACTGCTTCAGTATTCATTGTCGGTGGAAGCATTCACTTTCAACCAGACAGTGACTGGAGATCGTTTAGATAGGACAGATTTTCCACCATGGGCGAGCTGCTGCATAAGTTGAAAAGTAAGGTTACACAAATTGGGGATAAAAGGGGGTGAGTTAGCGATATGGTAAATAATAATAATAATAATAATAATAATAATAATAATAATAATAATAATAATAATAATAATAATAATAAAGGTAATAATAATAATAATGTTAATTGTCTTGCTTTTAGTATGACCAGGGATATTATCGTCAATAGAGTTCATAATTTCATTTATTTGTGTGTGGGCTGTGATACTGCCCGGGTGCCCAAACCGAAGAAGGTGGTTTTCTTAGGGGACCACACCCCGAGCCTTTGACCTAAAGGTCTGATCCACAAGGCAGTGGAGCATCGTGAGGAGATGCAGTCCCATGGTTGCCGTTGACCATTGACAGGTTCTTCCGCCATTCGTTCCATCAGGATACTGGAGCCCATGTGCACCATTGGTTTGGAATCAGGGTTTTCCAACTCCCCTAGGTGGACCCTCCGTGTCCACCAACCCGGTTAGAGCGCCGGACATTCGCTTTTCGTCTTCTCACTTTCGTAAACAACAGTAATGCCACGAGAAGGCAGTGAGTAGGAATTCCGTGGCAGAGGCTATATATTCGTGTGGCCATGTGAGAGCATTTGGAGAGGGAGAGCGGACTCTCCCCACTCTCAGCCGTACCAGGGCATTTGGGGGCAAATCAGTAAGAAATGCGAGTGAATTTCGAATAATCTAAAGTTAGAACAAATTCAAGCGAACAGCATTGTTTTCAATTTAATCGTCATTAGTTTCCACCCTAATATGCATGAATATTCGTATGAAAATTTTAGACTAGTCAAAACGATTTATAAGTAAGTGATCACAGTCAAATAGATTGGATAACTTCACATGATAGGTAAAATGTACCACTTAATAGTAAATAGACAGGTATACTAATAGTAATAAGAACAATAAAACAATAAAAGCTCTAGTTAATAATTCAACATAGGAGGTAGGTTAAACTTGAATAAATAGATTTTAAAAATAATAATCACAAAGTATCGTTAAAATTAAGTAATAAGGAGTATGTAAATGGTTAAATGTTGAAGAATATGAACGGAAAGGGGTGAAAAAGGACAAATAAATATTGGATATGAAAAACTAGTAAAATCGTATTTTAAATCACATCCGACCAAGGAGGGGAGAGGGGTGTCACGAATTTTTCATGAACATATAAACTTGGGTTATAGGTTCAGATCCTTATAGCTTGTGCTATATGTAAGAGACGAGATCGAACCCCATTAGAAAATGACGACGGTAGGCGATAGATCACTAGAAACGATTCAGCCCACTGTCAACCAAGTGTGCCATGATAGAACTAAGTATTGTTTTTGTCTGTCCAAACCAAGCTAGGAGATGTTCACTCATTCTTTGGTTAATTTACTTGGTAGTACTCTCGATATAGCTATCTCCACAGGAGCGGCTGAATTTGTAGATGCACATTGAGCAAACAACAAACTCAGGTAAGTTATATTTTATTGGTTGATCTGTAAAATCTTTGTGGATTTAGGGTCTTGAATTTTCTCAGTGTAGTCACAGTTTAAAACCTATTTACTTATGATTGGGATGCAATATCCTTCACGATAGACTAGTTTTGTATAGTTAAGTCGTATGACTTATTGTGTATAGGTTTTATTATTACTCTGATAACATTCTTATCTTTGATACATGATTCGGGCAATGCCTTGGAGTACCAAAATGAATTTTAACTGTTTAGCCCTAGACCTTTATAAATCTATTTGCGATTCATGACATTATTAAAAAACGAATGACGGTTATTTTCAGAAGAATATTGAATTAGTTGATTAATATTCCGCACTTAAAATTACCCAAATAGTAGTGAGCATTTTATTTGTCGTTTCTAACTGACAACTCAATTTTTGAATACTAGGTTAAAACTCATGTAATTACTGAAATACGTAAAGATTAAATTTGACATCCTCGTTATCAAACAAAGATAATCATTTGTGCGTATCATTACCAAGTTTTGACTTGATAATTTTGAATAAATTGAGCTTTGGGTAGATTGTTATAAATAAATTAATATATTTGTAGTATCCCAATGAGTAGAAAAATTAGATTCTTTGACGTTTTGTGACTCAGTGTAAGCCACTTCTTCAGAGAATAAATAAAAAATAAAGTGGCTTACACTGAGTCACGAAACGTCAGAAAATCTAATTTTTCTACTCATTGGGATATTACAAATATATTAATTTATTTATAAAGATAATCATTGTTTTTTTTATGTTCCAGGAATATAGGATAAAAGTATCTAAGATCTATTTATACAATCTCTCTAATTTTGATTTATTTCAATGATTTCATTCATTTCTCATTTTTCAAAAAAATCATTCATAGTTATGTCAGTCCAATTCAGAGAAATACAATAAATTCGCTTTGGCTGAATTACTTACAATACCAATCCAACGCGTTTTGAAATATCATCTTTTGTTAGAAGTGAGTGTTTAGGTTATTTTTTTAGTATTACATAACATTTTATTGCTTTTACAGACTTGTTTTCTTCTGATTCGATTTCTCACAATTAATTGAAATATGAAGCGGCGGATTTCTAACACTAATAAATACTATTTGAAATTTAAGTAGAAAACGTGAATAAACGCGTTTTCTGGGCAATATGTTTCATTCTTCCTAATTTTTCCCAACTTCTCAAGGTAAATCTGTACAGATACAACTCTCTTCATATATCTCGACATTTTCGGTGTTTTTTTTCGCTGGTTAAATCACTCGAATAATTTGATATGATTCTTGACACAGGAGCAGTGATTCAGTGCTTAAAGCATCCAACTTTCAACTACTAGGTTTCTGGTTCGAGTCCGATCAGCCTGCTTTGGTTCGGGAAGTTGTCGTGTTAAAAATAGCTCACGCACGTAGAACCTGTTTCGATACCAAGTACAGTAATATGTACCTGGTAATCTAGTTGGGTGATGTGATATTGCCCGATCATTAGACTGACTTCGAAAGGTGGAACTTTTTATCATATCATGAAATATTTGTGTTCGGGTTAATGATTAAATTAGCTAACCATGGATTGATTATGTAAACCGATCGATATGGCTTCTTTAAAGGGAAACTGGTTAAAATTGATATAACGTATAATAAGTAAATCGACTATAGCCAAATATCTGTTTGTATTCTGTTAAAACCTGTTGATATTCAGTTTAATTAGACTATCTTGTACCAAATCATCTTCGGATTTAGGGTATTACCTTGGTTAGTTACAAATGTTGCACCTATGAACTTTAGGAACATGTTGAAGTCACCGGTTAGCTGACTACTATAGTAGTTTAGTTGAGGTGGTCTTGAGGAGATTGGTTTAATTTGTGGATTGTATTCATCACGAACATTGACCTCAGCACTACACACTCACGGCTCCACCAGTGATCGAACCTAGAAATTTCAGATCTTACAGCGATTCACAATATCGAGAGCCTAGTGGATGAGCGATTCTGATTTCTGTACTAGAACAAAGCGGCTGTTCAGTTCCCCTTGTTTTTCATTGGTGTTCCGACTGTGAGTAATCTATGGCGAATCCGACCTCAAAAATTAAAACGATCTCTACAAAACTCTTTCAACTAAATTATTATTATCATCAACTCACTAGTAATTTGCTTTGCTTTGTTTACGTGAAATCTAATTATTAACTATCTGATTTTTTTGATAGCTTTGGGTTTTTCCTATAGGACTCACATTTTTATCAATATTACTACTACTACTACTAATACTAATACTAATACTAATAATAATAATAATAATAATAATAATAATAATAATAATAATAATAATAATAGTCGTAATAATGCCCATAATGATCAAAATTGTGTTCAAGTATATGGGGATTCGTACTTGTAACTACAAAAAACATGATTGTAAGTCTCATCTCGTACGTGGTTCCTACATTATAGTAAAGTCTCAAACAATGTCTCAGTTGTTTTCAGTTTTTCTTCGGTAAACATTGATCTCTTCTAGAAAGTGCATTCAACTACTGAATCATTTAAATTTATTTTATTTGGTTCATTGTTTTTGTTCATAAAGCATTTTTAGTTCAGCAAACTATACCTGTTTCTTAAATTTCAGCACTTATGTAAACTCACTCCAGCTGATCACTATGATCGTTCTGATCTAATCGTAGCTCATGAAGCTATGCGTGAAGTTGCATTATCTATCAATGATGTTAAACGAGATCTTGACACGATTAGTTCCATTGATCAAATTCAATCCAGGTTTGTTTATTCGCTTAATCTATAGATTATAATCATTCAACACATTTTTAGATTATTAATTAAGCTTCACCTTTCTTGATGAGTTATTGGTTACTTGTGATTGTTGAATAATAAATTATTCTCTATGTGTATTGCCTGGTTAACATAGTTGTTTTGACCTTATATTTGTGAACGTGTTTGACTGATACTTAGGGTTATATGGAATAATTCTACCTATTCGATAAGTTTTAATTATACGAAAGCGTTAAATTCGAGTTTAAGTTGACTTTTAGTTGTGTTCATTCAGGAATCAAGGTCCATGATATTGAAATATAAATACTTCTTTTCATAGAGAATTATACTATTGGTTTAATCCAGGGCCGATCACTTAAATCATTGTAATTTATTGGATAACTAATCTAAGCCTAAAAAATCGGTTTGTAATTAGTCATTTTAATTTTAGCTGTGGATATGTTTTGTGTGAGCGCACGTGTGATGATTATACATCATATTGAATCTCTAAACTGTAATAATGTTAGATTAGAATACTACAGTGTTTATTCTTTTTGCGAATTCGTGAATACTTTGCAGCATTTGTGAAATTTTGTTTCAGTAGAATAGATTAGGTAGCAAACAAACGATTCTAGAAAATATGGACTAAAGGAATAAAAAATTTATAAGGTAATTTAGAGACGAAGTGTGATTGTAATTGAGCTAAGTCACCCAAAGTCTCTAACCATTGGTTACAATAATTATTCATACCCTAACCAGGTAGTCTGCTTCTACCTGCATGACTCAGTCCAACAGTTCGCGTCTTCATTAACTGACTCCATGCCTTGATTTGACCGCCTCTAACTTTCAGTTTACTCTCACACCAGTTAATTGGACATGTGTGTGAATAAATTCTCATCGCTCATTTTCATGATATCGAGTATATATCTACTAGGTATCCATACCAAGGTTGGACTTGATAGTTTCAAATAAATTGACAATTGGTTAGAGAGTTAATAATAAATATATTTTTGTTATATCCCAATTAGCAGAAAAAATGTATTTCCGACGTTTTGTGACTTAATGTAAGCCACTTCTTCAGAGTAAATAAACAAGCGACATAAAATTAACACAAATTTAAACTTGTGTTAAGGTGGCTTTGATAATCTAAAACAATTCATTTATTATACAAATTAGTCATTTTCCTTTATTTTATGTGCTAATCTTGTACCTGCTCCGTATCTTTTCTTTATTTCTTTCGTTATTTTGACAGTTTACTTGAAATAATGCTGGTGAGTAATAGTAGTAGTGTAGTATTTTCATTATTTTTCATGACTTTTAATTGTATTTGGTTAAATTTTTATCAAATGATGTATTTGCGTACGATATCCAATTAATAAAATGATCATTTACCATGTAATAATTGTCATAATAGTAAATCTTCCAATTTTTTTTATTATTGACTTTGCTGGTCATCTGATCTCATAAAGGGATTTCGTGTGGTCAAACTTCGAAAATTCAGTCTATATCTACGCTTAAAATCATGACAGTGAAAAAGACATAAAGATATTCTTGTATTATAAGAGCATATCATGTGACATACTAAAAGTTTTGCCATGTTATCTAATTGAACGATAACAGCTTCAACTGATGGATACAGTCAGCTTTAGTTTACTTTGCCACCGTGGAAACCATTAATGAGGGAAATCAACCGTGAAACAAATAAAATACGATTGTCTAGTGTCGAAATAAATATCATCTTATACTTTTAAAAAAATACTATTGGTTTTCTCTGCATAATGTTCCATTTCAAATAGTCATCAATATTTTCTAAAAATAAACTATTTCATGCCAAGTAAAATCAAACGTTATTTCATTTATATATCTACATCATCTTTTCATGACTTTTTTTGTTATTACTTCCCATATATTTCTTTGAAAAGAAGTTTATTTTTTCATCTCACTTATCAATTAATTTTATTCTTCGTTGTTATTTCCTGACAAGTTTTACGTAATTTGTTAGGGAGATGAAAATTTTATTCACTTTTTCTAACGATATTAAGATTGATTAATCACTAGTTTTCATGGTTAGTTTTAGAATTTAATAAAAGGGCTATTTTAACATATTCAGTTAGATTCAATCCTTAGCAATGGATTCGTTTAATTCTTTATCAAATCGAATATATACAGAAGAAAAATGAATTATATGCAAAGATACATTCCTTAATGTCTGTTAACAGATGGTCGTAAGAATTCGAACAGCAAACAGGCAGGTAAAGGGAAGTGACCTTGATTAAGTAACTAATCCATATACTTATTATGGATTGTCTACATCATGTGACTCGTAAAATCTTTTCTCGTTCTGATATTATATCGAAAAAATATTCGTTTACACTATAAGTGAATAGTTTCTGTTTATGAGAGATATCATGGGTAAAGTAAGTCCAATAAGAGTTTAGGCAATATTGACTTGATTTGTATTAAATGAATGCTTTCAAAAATATATTTACACACAGCGACTTGTTTAATATGTGGATGATTTTCATCACAAACTGATATCAGTTGGTGACTCACTGAAAACAAGGTAGTACTACATAGTTGTTTTATCGTAGTGTAGAATTCCATAACATTTGGTGTCTGTAACGTCGCCAGAAAGCAAACGTAGCATGATTAATAGTTTTCATAACAAGTGCGTTAAATTGTTGAACACTGGGTTAGTGGTAATGTGCATTTCCAGCATTAATCAGTTTACGATATTCTGAACAAAATCATTGCTTGAGATTATACTAATCGTCGAAACTTTTAAAATCTAACTCTCAGTTTTTAAATATCTATTACAAATTAGTCTTAGTAATTCTTGATAAGTTTTTAATATTTATCTGGTTGGGATTATCTTGATCACTGGTTGAAGACGTTAAATGCGATGACTCGGAATCGGTTACAATAGTACAGTTACATTCATTCTTTATTTTCCATTTGATCTTGAATTTGAAAATTGTCTTATACTTTATATTCCACGAATTCAACTTTTCTCCTCTAATCACGCTGTCTGTCCTTTATCTTTTCTATTACCACTTATGCTGTTACTATTAATCTGGTATTCATCCTGAAAATTTCATCTCGCCCTGCTGATATGGTGTGACAACTTTGTTTTCTTTTCAAGACTTAGTTTAGTCTCTAATTTTAGTATTGTGCCAATTTAAATATGAGGACGTTTTAGTGGATTAGCATTAGTTACGCGTATTCATAATCAGCTTAATGCAGTTGAACTAGTGAGTCAACTAAACTACACATTCATTTTGTGAGCTAAATACAATTTCACTTTATAACTGTATGCAGTACTTAAGTCCATTTATTTTAATTTTTTTCTTGATTTATGTTTCGAAAATACAGATTTCTGTTACGTCACATTTTCGGCCACAATAGTAAAGATAACATGTTTCTGTTCATCATTATTACTTAATTTAACGTAATCGTTCTAGTTACAGTTAAATTCCAGAAAGATATCCATATATATATATATATATATATATATATATATATATATATAGGCGCAAAAATTACAGTACCATTAATTATGGGCAAATAATTACTTTCCCCACTAACTTGTAAGTAAATTTTAATTACATACACCGTCACTTTTTATTCCTGGTTATGTTGTGTTATTTGTTCATTTTCCAGCCTCCAGATAAAAGGTTATCAAGTTATGGGCACTTACATATGGATGGAGAAGTGAAAGTTCTTTCCGAATCAGAAAACAAAGCGAAAACTAGGTAATATAACATTATAGTAGATCCAGATATGCGATGAATTTCGATTTTATACCTTGAATGTATTGATCGTGTTACGTTATTTTGTACATTAAATTGTTTTATCAAAACAGTAATGATAATATCGTACCCATAAATCTATTTCTCAGATCGACTTACAAGTAGGATGAAAGATGCATCATGCATTCTACTGCTAGTCTCTATGCAACTTTAATAAAATTTTGTAATTAAATGGTGATTTCGAAGCAATCCACTCAGGGTGCAAATATGTCAATAATGATCAACAAAATGAAATCCTTAGCATCCACAATAGGAAAATACAAACTCTTGGAAATGATTCACGACATAATTTAACGTTCCTGGGATTGTTAGTAGTATTATTATTTTTTCGATTTGAACGATTAGAATTATGGTTTATTATAAGTCAGTCAGTTATAATAAATTTGAAGCCTGCCACAAATAGACGTTGACCCAACTGGCCATACTACGTCAGCCCAGCAAAATGAAATTATCAAACAGGATAGCAAACAAGTTGAGACAATTGTGATATTAATGATACTAATAAACATTAAGAGTGTGGTTGAAGAAGACGAAATTAAGTGGTATATGTGAAGTAACACTGGAACTCATGACTCATTTAATTACACAAATAAATTCAGAGGCCATGATACACCATAAACAATGGATATTCATATGTGCAAGTCTAGGACTTGACACAAGTTAATGAATGACCGGAAAAAATATGGCAATAGTTAATGAGTTAAATAAAAGGTTACAGTTTGGTTTGTGTGAAAATACCATTCATCAATTATTTTATCAATACACACTTAAATATTTACGGTAGTTCATCGCAGAACAACTTCCAAACTTCGTCATTTTCATTTACTCGCCGAATCACAACACAATCACAGTATATTGTTCCCAGTCACTATGTTATCTCATCTACTCACGGTGCTTGCATAAATTTATCTCGACAAAACCCAATTTTAAGAAAACTGGCTATGGAAGACAACTAGTTGATTGGTAATTTGACGAAGTTGGCGAAATAAAGTCTTTTTAAAGGGATAGTCATTGAAACTGTAAAATTTCTGAGGTAAACTGTTGTGCATTTCGTCTACACCGCAGTTGCTTATACGATATAAGTTCACAATAGATTAGAGAGAGGGAAAAAATTTCATAGTGTTAGATTCTATCAAAACTAAAGATTTTGTCGAGTTTCGATTGTCTATATACAGAAATCAGTCGATCATAAAAAGGCTATTTCAAATAGTCTGTTTACTATGGTCTAGAATGTTTACCTTAGAAAAACCTTATTTGAGTGCATGTTTTTTGTACTCAGTCAATACTCTCTTCCTATATAATCTGTAACAAGTGCTTTTTTGACCGTTTTCTCGAAATTATCTCCATTTATTATTCACTTCTTTTATGTTCTGAATTCCAGCAAATAATGATAAAATAAGATTGATTACTCGAACTTAATAGATTTTATGGTTCAAAAAGCATTCACAGATTACCAATGTTAGTTTTCATAGTTGAAAGCGTTAGTCAATTGAAGCTAGACCGTCAGGAAAAACCTGGAAGCACTGGAAGGCCGTTTCGTCCTATTGTGGGACTCCTCAGCAGTGCGCATCCACGACCTCGCCTCGCGAGGTTCGAACTCAGGACCTACCAGTTTCGCGCCAGAGCACTTGACCGATAGACTACTGAGCCGGCATCCGATGGTGCTAGAGGTTTTCCCTGGTGGTCTAGCTTCAATTGACTCACGCTTTCAACTATGAAAAATACTAAATCCCCACAAAAAACCCCTTCTGATCATGTTGATTTTAACAATTTTTACATATGATTTTATCCGTATTAAAGGTTGGAAGTAATTTGTTATTCAAAATGAAATATATTATTATAATCAGTACTAATATTTGCATCTAAATTTCCCATTCCTTTATTTAACACATTAACAAGTTCTGTAACTATTGTTTATTCTCCAGCTGCGTTCTTTGAAATGTCAATTAATAGCTTGATTGGAACGATTAATAGGTATCATTTCATCACTTATCTACATTGGGGAATGTTACACTTTTTTGAGAACGGTGCTCAATAGATGGATAATTTTGTCAGGATTTAGTTTTATGACTTTGTGCTTCTGTCATTATCAGTAGGAGAATATTATTGGCTACTTTACTATACTTTGGCTTATTTAATTTTTTATCTGTGGTATTGTAAATTTCAGTCACTGGGTTGTGTTGTAAGTCAGCACTCTCCCCTATGTTTTCTTTTTGGGCGACTGAGTACCATCGTTTGAGTTCACATGAAATTTTGTGACTAAAAGTTGGCTACGTAAATCCGCATTCTATATCAATTACTTAAATATAGCGAGCGCAAAACATTGAATTATGAATTAGTGAAATATGTGTATATGTGTTTCTAAAATGTTTTTATTGACTTTTCTTACTAGATTTGTATTTCCTGTTTATTTTCTTTGTCTAATTTGCAGATATTTGTTTTTATTCGATAAAATATTGATTGTATGCAAACCAAAGGTAAGAAATTATTCTAAATATTCGTGCACTCACATTATTATTATTTTTATTACATTTGTACAACCGGCCATCAGTAGTGTGTGTATGATCTAATGGATAGGAAAAGAAAATTTTCCTCACTGGAAAATTTCTGTATTTGTAGCACTGATGGTTTATGTTTTCACTACTTACTTTGTAGCGAATAGAATAGTTTCTAAAAATGTTGAAGTACTAGTGACGGGAATCATTTTTACAAAATCTTTCATGAAAGCTATTGCGGAGATTAATTTGCTTTTTAGATGTTATTCGTCTCAAACTAATATCATTCGGATGTACCACTGGAAAATAGGCAACATTAGTCAGCTGTTTCGTTGTAGTGTGGGACTACCAAGGTGTTCTCGTTTATCGACTCTATAGGAACTGAACCCAGGCCCTCGAGGTCTCGTAATGAGCCTTGAGTTGGAATCCAGTAGTTTTCATTGCTAAGTTTAAATCAGTTCATGGTATAACACGATGATCGTTATTATTCGTATGTCTCACGATGTTCTGTTTGCTCTTCAGTATTTATCTATTAACGTTATGGGTTGGTTAGATACATTATTATAACGTTGTATTGCGTGGTAATTGTATATTTTTCTTTATATTGTATCGAAAAGTGACGGTAAAGTGATTGAAAATTTAATGAGTAGTCATTTTTATTAGATCATTTAGTATTAAGGATATGAATCCTTTTTATATCGTTTTTATTACGTATATATGTTTTGGTTATATATATCTGTAAGGCTTAGTCATACGCGCTCTGGTATCGAGAGATTCCTCGTTTCATTTTTCCATTAGCACAGAATAATAAATGGAAATTCATAGTATAATTTCATTTAGTTAGACTGACGAGTACCCTCTCACTCCTCGAAAAGATATAATAAAATAAGTACTTGTCTATTTGGATTTCATCATATATGATAAACGTCTCATCCATAAACCCATCGTCAAAATACGACTAGGTTACTACTAGTGCTGTCTGAGTTGAAATAAGCAACTTACTTGTTTGTTATTGCCTCATCCTAACCTATGTGCATATATATATATATATATATATATATATATATATATCGCTGTTAGTCTTATTATTATTGTTATCAGTTGGTCGTATATTGTTCCAGAAAAAAATTAGTGTTTCAAAGTTTATTTCAATTTCACTAGTATATTCATCACAAAAGCCAGAGTTTTGATAAATGAAACAATTTCAACTCAAATCAGTAAGCCTTATAAAAAATATTTTATTTTCAAAACAAAATCAAACCAGTGTTCCTCATATATTCCGTAAGGATTTTCATCACATCTACGTTCTGTAGTCAAATGTGGCTTACACGAAGTTTTAATCAATTCTCGCTTGTCCACCATTTACCATGTAAATATTGTTTATTCATATCTAACCATTATGTAAATCCTTCATTTGTGCTTACTTGTTCTCCTTGCTCAAAATTCAACAAATCTTGTAATTGTTAGATATTCAGAAACTCAACTAGCTTGCTGTTGTTGTAAAACATTCTGACTATAACTGTGATGTATGCTACTTATGCCTGTTAACATAAGTAGTATGTAACACCGACCAGAAATTGTATGTCTGGCAGCAGAAGATTGAGAATATCAAATTGAAGAGAACAGGAATGTTAACAGAGAGTTATTGTAAAAACAACAGGAATGAAGGAACGATGAATTTTGTAAGAGATAAGTAATGGAAGATATGCATATGGAGTATTTAATGTTTGGTTTCCGTATTTTACGAAGACATTCTGTAATTTTGTATTAAACAATAAATTTTGGTCTTCCCCACCTGAGTGTTAGTTCACTACATAACTAATATTTCACGTTAATAATTTTTATGAGCAGTAGTCATTTAAATTTGAAAATCAGCTTCAAAAATCTGGATGTACATCTATTTGCTATGATCGTACCTCTAACCTTATAGTTGTTAAATTAAATGAACAACCCGTTACATTTTATACACTCTACTGCACATAAAGCAAACATATATCTTTTTATTTGGCTAAAATAGGACCAAGTGGTATCAAAAAGATAGATCATGTGATTAAAGCGAAAAATACAGAGTTTAGCGTATGATATTGGTATTGCATTAAAGAATAATTCATCCGAATCTCATCTATAAATTATCAGACATTTCATGGAATACCTCTATGTACTTAACCGTATAATGCGTTTTTTAGTAGCTAATATAAATCACAAATGAATATTCATTTTTCTCATTATGGCGATTTGAAATCAAGTGTTACTGACCAAGTACTTTTTTTAAGGTAATCTAAAAAATTTATTGACTACGATCAGCCACGATAAGGTATCTAATGAGGTTATCTTAAAAAGAAAGGTCCAATATATACGCTTAGTTAATTGCTTCTTGCATGCATCATTATAATATATCAATCATGTGATTTAACATTACTTCATTGACATTACTGGTGTTTGTCTACATTAGTGTGTGTATAGAAAAGAAATGCGAATAAACGCTATTCTATTCTTAATTCTGAAAGGGGAAACTGTTAGTCGTCAATCAAAAAGTAATTCTATATATGTAAAATTAAAAAAATGTTGAAAGGTTATTCCTTGTTCACGTGTACACTTGAGATATCCATTGTGTAATTACCAAAAGAATGTTAATTTTAAATATGTAATACCTCTTTATGTAATTCTGTTCTCTTTTAGTCAATTACAATTAATTCACTACAACATAAGTAGTGTAAATTTTTTTTGCAGACAAACAGTGAATTAAGGTGGATTTCATTTCAGAGATTGATATTATATGTTACATGTTTCCAACCTTTGGTCTGGATGACCACGAATATCCAAACCATACTTGCGGAACACGAAATATTTCTTTCTTTCTTGTATCCAACCTGATTATCATTTAGCGATTCGATGGTTCATTGCTGTATTGTCTTCTCTCAATACCATGTTTGCTTTCCAGCTCATTCTTACGTATAAACAACATACTCTGCATCGTGATCAGGAATTGATGATAGCTAACAAATCTCTAGACCATTTCTGTATATACAGCCTATTATTTACTCTGTAAATAGCATTCATTCCTGTTTAGATTCTTTTAATGTGTTTTATTCATGTGGTTTTTGACTACAAAGTTTCCAGTTAATCACCAAAAGTCTTAATTTTCGCAAAAATCAATGAACAATAATTCCTTGATTCCCCTAGGTCCACTGGTATTACTATTGTTATATATAATTAATCAAACTGAATAATTATCACTTTCATTGATTATCAAGGATATTTTCCATACTGCTTGTATTGTTTTGTCATTTATGCGTTATTCCTTACCTTTTTTATTATATAGGGTGATAGTTTTACATTTATGTTCGCTTATCACGTTGTAAATGGCCAATCCCAAAGAGTTACTTTACCAAATAAAAAGGGAGTAAGTTTTATTTAAGTATTAAAATCTAAACCAGTTATTTACTTCAATATTATGATTGATGTGTTAGTTTTTGTCAGTCGTGCAATATTTTGGTTAATAAGAAGAAAATAATCCAGAATATGGTTGACAATTGTTTGGTGTTCTTTTATCGCTACATTACTACTGTGATTCATTGATTATGATCGCATGTTACAGAAAATGGTCCTAAAATATAAATATGATCATCAAAGAATTATATGTATTTAGTTCTTTGTTTCTTGAAATTGATTAGTTTGGAAGTACTTTTCGCGATCCACCAACGGCATAGAACAATAATAATCCGAATAATAAGTAATGAAGATGAACTAAAGAGTTGTTCTCCCACATATTTGGGAGCCTTTCACTCATTCCCAATGTCTTTTTATTTAAAATGTATACCAATTCATCTTTCATATTGAGCACTTTCCAGTATTATTTCTTTAAATTTAAGTCTAATCGCTGATAATTTTCGTTTCCATCTAGTTAGTGACACAATCCAAGGTCATTTCATGTTTTGCTAGCAGGGTTTCTTAATGATTCGTTAGAAGTTTGTTTCTCGTCGTGATTTAACAATAAATGATGAGTAGCTAATTTATTCAATCTAATCCTGTTGACTCGATCTGTTTAGAATAGAATATTACTGTTCGCCACTAAGTGAAGTGATGGGACTCCAACTGTTTGACTTCAGTTTAAAAATTGAAAATGAAAATGATGCACATAAGATGTTAGCATAATGATCGCGTATGCTTGGTAGATTAATATCCATAACCTTACAGTCGTCGCTTACAAGTCAACCACAAGCTTTGACATTGTTCATCCTTTTATTGTATTAGATACCTGAGCGATACCTTCGAAATGGAAATGATTTCATACTTCACTATTTTTTAAAGGCTGTTTCTATTTTCTATACCATCTGTAAAAAAACCGCTTTGTGAAATGAAAACAAGATTAGATAAGGCTTATTATTTTCTTTAAATCCTAATTCTTATTGTTAAATTTTATTTGTTCCTATCGTATACGTGCGTAAAGTGATCACAGAATTAGGTCATATTTGAGATATTAAGCAGTTGTAATGATCATGAAGATGATTGTACACGTAATTCTAGTCTAAATGTAAACGATGACTGTATTTATTTAACACATATTTCATATGTAAGATATTTTTGCCAGCTTTTCATATGGATTTTCCAAAAATTAGATTATTTTATTACAAGCAGTTTCGAGCCGTTATCATCGTAGAATCTCTGTTAATTTGTTACTTTTTCAAAGGATACACTCATTTCATAGTCAAACTCAGTACTGCATTCAATTGCAGTGGTCTATTTTTCCAGTTTTCCATAACAATACGATTATCCCTCGTGGATATCTGCTTACACACATAACTCAAGTAGACATGCATATTTTAGAATGAGTAAAAGCTAATTTTTGCTGAGAAATCCTTGAAACGTTTCAGATTTGTATTAAAACTAGTCACACGACAAATGTATGTGAATAGTAACACTTATTTTGATGTTTAGGACTTATTGTAGAATAAAGACATGAAATTGTCATGGAATACTGACATAAATGACTGAAAACTATTTATGTTTGCATCACTGCTAGCTAATCGTATTATCTTAAGAGTTTACCGTCTCTGTTATAAAATTACTTTTTCCCACGTGTTTTGACTTAATACTCCAAGCTTTTGCTTCTGCTATCAAGTTTGTATATAAACTAATTATAGTGGCTAGTAGTAGAATCCAGGAAACGCATTTCGTTCTCTTTGGGACTAGTCAGCAAAATATACCTGCATCCTAGTGTTTGATATTCACAATCCAAATATAATAAATACAAGGTTATATGGAGGAAATCAGGTCAGTGTACAATCCCTAACAGTAATAACAACGAGAAAATACAAAACCATACAAATGTCGTTAGAATAATGGGAATATTTCTCATACTATGGTTCTGTGTCTGTAATTATGTGGAGAAAAAGAGTCAGATTCATACTTGTCCTCGTCTTGTAGCAGTTTCTCACTAAAAAGATTCCAAACACTGAATTTCTTGTTTCTTGTTATTCACACGTGGATTGCTAGTCACAAAATAACTACTCGCATGTTGGATTCATTATAATTGACCAATTTAAAAGCTTTTTTGTTGCATATAGGCTCATGTTTATACCGTCACATCGTTAATTAATCGAAAATCTCTACTATTATCTTAGCGAAAGAGTTTTCATAGATTACTTATCTGAATTATCTGAAGCATAAGGTTTTATCTACGTTGATGCTTATAAAGAATGAGTGATTATAATTTTGGCCAGACTAACTCAAACTGGGTTGTTTTGACAATAAATATCTCCCCTCACCCTATAATAGGTAGATTAAATGGTACAATATTGCCAGTTTATCTCACCATACTTTTATTGTTAAACTAGTTTCCTCAATTACATTTTCTGAAGTTAATAAGTTTAGTGACATCAGGTTTGAATTATCTTATAACATACAACTTTAATATATAAAAAAAATACTAACTGGATTTTGTTAGCAAGTTTGAAAAGCCAGCGAAGTACATTAAATTGTTCTGCTTATCACTGAAAAATTTCAGTAAGAATAAACTATATCCTTTGTAAAATCCAATTTTATGTAGCGCAATCTAATTTCAATGTTGTTGAACGATGTTACAAAATTAACATGTCAGTTAGATAATTGAGATACATTAATTGCCACTGTATGGTTATTCCATCCATCCCCCACGACAAATAAAATTGGTTACTGATTTGTACAATTGTGATATTATGTTGAAATGACCGTAAACTGATAGCAAGAATTTCAGGTTATTACATGTTTATTGCATAAAATAAATGTGATTTGTGTGCATCTAAATTAAATAACGAACTAAAATATCAATATTTGCTATCATGTGATAAACTAAATAGTCTGATGACAATATATATATATATATATATATATATATATATATATATATATATATATATATATATATATATTAACAGAAATGGTTATGAACATTACTTTTCCACGGTCTAGTAACTCTGACGTCCATTATTATCAGGCAAATATGTTTCGTCAGTGTCTTTCGCAGAAGTCCTGCACAAGGTGAATGTTGCATCAATATGTGAAGTTTGTCCCAGCAGCGGAAAATTCTGTCAAATATCTGAGATTCAGGTTTACATATGTTAAGTACCTATTTTCCTTATCGTGTATCTTTATACATCAGAGCCTGCATCATTGTAGTATTCTATTTACATTGCTAATGGAATGAAACTATCCATCAGGACTGATCAAATCATATTTATACTACTGATCCATAAAGTGTCTATTTCCAAGTCTAATCTAATTGGAAAATTATGGGCTTCATTGTTATGATATTTGAAATAATTAAAATGATTTTGTTTAGAGAATTTTGAGCATATGATACAAATCTTTTTTGCATCCAATCTGTTGTTTTAGGTTGGTAATTTGGAGTTTTTCTCTATCTTCGTTTCCGTTCTTCACATTCTTGTTATCAAAAGGTCTTTGCTACTATAATCTTTGTTTTTATGGAAAAATGCGACATTTGCAATCAATAAACTTATTGTACTCCGTTTTCTTGTACCTTTTGTTTCGCATCAAACAACCGCCCGCTCCAATGAACATTAATGTGTATTTTCTTCACTGCCTCAAATTTTATATTTCCATTTAGCACTAGACTATGTGTTTATCTCAAGTCTTTAATTGTCCAGTTTTTGGTTTTCGTTTTTGCTTTTAATATTTTATGTTTTCAAGTTACATTCATCAAGATATACATTTAATTTATTGTAGGTGTAAGCCAAATTTTACTGTTTATTCATTTATTTAAAATAGTATTCCTATGGATTTACTTTACCAATTTTGGGTGATAGAGATTCGCCAAATCTTACGTTCTTTACAAAATCCGAAGAATTACGTACAGCTTGGATGAAAGCCGTAATGGCTGCATTGTAAGTTGGTGTCAATATTGTGTGTGTATTTGTTTGCGGATTAGTTTATTTTTATTAATTATACATTTAGCAACTATGACAAATTTCATGTGAAGAGTACTGCTGTATTTTTCACTTTCCAAATCCAATTTGATCAACTTTATACTCCTGAAGTAAATCGTTTTCAAGTAATTTGATTACGGTAAAATTCTCTTTATCTTGGATTTATTTGATAAACATTCGAAGCTTTATCAACAAAGATGGTGGGATCCAGGACGCACGTTTTGTCCTAATTGGGACTCGTCAGCTGGATGTACCTACATCCCAGAGTTGATGTTTAGTTGCAGTCCTAAACACCAATGGCAAGATTCAAATAAACGTTAAAAAAACTTTGATTGACGTCATGGATCGATCAATATTAAATCATCTTTGAAAACTCGGAAGCACTGGATGACTGTTTCGTCCCAGTGTGGGGCTCCTCAGCAGTGCTCATCCACGATTCCACATGCACTTATTCGAACACAGGATCTTTGGTCTTGCGCGCGAACGCTCAACCCCTATATCACTGAGCCGGCATCCAATAGTGTTAATGTCTAACTTCAATCAGTCCACGAAATTGCCCCTTGTGGGCATTTTCCCTTGTCTTCTGTGAGTAGCTGCCTCACAGCCGACGACAATCAATTCATAGCTTTAGTTGTATCCTTAATAAAGCCAGAAGACTGTTATAGGTATTTCTTGAGTAGATGTTAATTTAATGCTTTCAGTTTATGTATGATAGAAAATAGGGTCATAACACATTTGAATAGTAATTTTGTTTATATAGAAATCTGTTGGATGATACCGGTTTTTGTCTCTAGTTATTAAGGGAAAAATCTTCAATTAGTTGTGAACAAATATCACCAACCAGTTGTTCACAATAAAAAACTTTTTAATTTGGTACACATAACTTCTGCCCATTCTTATTTAAGGAAATCTGAAACCTTGATTGCTATTAACTTACCAATATTTTAATTTTATTGTAAGCTTTGAAAGTTATTCTTAACGATTTAAAATAAATTGCGAATTTTCTAAAAAGGAACTAACTTTTGCTTGACGATAGTCTATAGCTTTTGATATTTTGTCAAACTTCTGAGAGTCCTAAAAATTCTGAAGTCATTCAGACCACCTATATTACTCTTAGTATTCAAAGTTGAAATTCTGTTACGCACAATATATTCGATAGGTTGATTATTTAAGATAGCCTTGTCTGTAAGGATTCATTTCTATACTCACCACTGTTTTATACTACCTTTATTGTTTAAATTTTCTATGTTAATATAATTTGTCATTATTCCCATCGTTCATTCTCCATTTGTTTTATGTTGATATTTGATTTCATTGACAACAGGTCTAATCTTTGTCCACCTGGAGCGAAAGACCGAGGTTACAACTTTGAAATGTTCACATTTAAACAGCCTACTTATTGTTGTATCTGCAATAAATTAATCACGGGAATGTTCTTTCAAGGTTATCGTTGTCGAGGTAAATTGTTTTGTCAGGATAGATTCTTTCTTATCATGCACGTGAGCTATTCAGCACGGTTTTAGGCTTAAACATTAACTACAAGTGCTCAGTTTCCATTATGTTAACGGTTATTTCTCAAGGTGCAGTTTAGTAGTTTATTAATTTCTTATAAATCTAATGTTAATGTTTAACACAAATTAATATAACTTGATTTCCTGGCTTAAATAAAAGTCAAGGCTTATGGCTCATTGAATGTTATACTTGCATATCTCTTACTTATGTTTTAATGGGCTGCAATAGTTAGGGATATGATATTGTCTTCATACTCTGTTATTTTAAGGGTTTGGTTGCTTGAGTTTGATTCACGATAACCATGATCATTGTCTGGAGACGTTGGGTAGCATGACTTGGGATCAGTTACAGTAGTACAGATATATTCATTATTTGTTTTCCCTAATTTTCAAAATTGTTTCATATATTTTACCCTGCAAATCCATTATTTCTTCCTAAACCATAGCCGACGTAAATTGATCCCGGATTCTTACCTTGCTTATGACTAGTGGCAAATTGTATTAAGCGTATGTACATTTTAAAAATATATTTCACCTATAATTTGAAGGTTTTCAACTGTAGTCCAATAAATTTCTTCATAGGGTAGGTAGGTTAACACGTGTTCAGTAAACTTGTTAAAAATTCTATTCAAACATTTAACCTCATCAGATTGTATGCTCGTTTTGAAATTTGTGTTACTCTTTAAGCTTTCATATTTGATCGCTAATTTCTCAACACTAGTATAACTAACTTTATCAATGTTTCTTTCATATAAAGCTGAAATATTCTGAAGTTTTATATAAATATTTATAAAAACATTATTCCAACTTTAAAAGTCATTCGTAGTCACTATTCTGAGGATAACTGTCATATACTGTACTTCCTCTCTTTGTTAAACTAAGTTTATCAAATTTACTGACCAATCTTCATTTGTAATTCATCATTTACCAAAAAAAAGTAAATTAAATCAGAGTTAATTCTATTGAATTTGTTTATACGTTAATGTCATTATAGACAAATAAGTATTCGTTGTGTTACACACTAAAAATTAAACTGTTTTATTGAAACAAGTTTTGTTTATAATAAAACTGGTAGATGAAAAAGAATCCTTAAAGGAATTAGTTACAAGTAATAAGTGTTTTTAGTTTACAAAATTAATCTTTATAATATTTTCATCTTTAACACTATTAACGGAAAATGTTTCACAAAAAACAAAAAAAAACCCAGCATTAAACAATCAACAATTCGAAGTACTTGTATCAATTATTTACAAAAATCAGTCTATCAATTATTCAGTCAATCAGTTGCAATCAACTATCGTAGCATAGGACCAGCAGTAAATATCCATCAGTCACATTTCATCTTATAGCAAGATGTGAATAGCAAAGAAGTTGGAATAATAATAATTAGTATTAATTACCGTAATAAAGATTCATTATAATGAATATGTTCTGAATAAATAAAATTTGAAATAAAAATTATGGGAACATTTGATGGAACTCAACATTTAGTCATCAGTAAAAAAAATTAATTTACATCGCTGTGATCAGTTTTGACGTAATTCATTATAGATCTTCAGCCATTGATTATGATTATTGGTGAGAAATGTTTGGAAGTACGGAGTATTCCAGAAGTTTGGAGATTAACTTTAAGAGAGCTCGTAGTTCTTGCTTATTCAGGGAGATGAAAAAAGCTTGTATGGCCAGTTACAGCATGCTATAAAATGCTGTACTATTGAATTTTGGAAATTGAAACAATGAAGGTTATCAACATTATTCTTTTGTATATGATAATTAGGTCTAAATCTTTTGATGACAATAATTTTAGTAAATCTCTTAGTTTATGTGCTTATTAATTATTTCATATGTGAATGCGACGAAGGATTGCTGTGCCAATTATGTTTTTATTTTTCGATTTTAATTTCTTTGAGGTCCGTTTGAAAATTCAAGCAAGAACTTCTCTTTTCAATTTTTCCTCTTTGTCTACTTTGGTTTTATGGTCTTGAATAATGTTAGCATAAAACTATATATAAAAATACTTATACTTCTGCCTATATGTAAATTGACTGTTTCACATTCAGGTTGAGTGATTACCAAAGCAGTATTGGTAGTATTGTATTAGTATTAGTATTATTATTATTAGTAGTAGTAGTAGTCATATCAAACTATGCAGTCACTGACTCTAAAGTATGTGCAAAAAAGTTAACCCTCTGCATTATGACATAATGTAGATTACTAATTAATTGTTGAAGACTATTGTTACTAATGGAGATCATATTTTTCTTACAAACGTTATTCATGCTGTTCCACTATCTTTCTGTCTCTCTTTACGTGTGTGTGTGCTTTATTAGACTGATAGGTGCATCAAATTCTAATTACTTTAATCGCTGAAAAATTCCCATCATATTAAAACAATTATATGAACGAAGAATATTCTTTTCAATAATTTCTCATCAGGTTCTACAATTATAAATTAATAATCCATAAAAGAAGATTGGCCAAGTTTAAGGCAGAGTACATCAATTGAAGAAACTGTAATATGTGAATCAAGGATTGTTTGTCATATAAAATAAGATCGAATCGTTAATGTTTTTGGGATGACTAATATGAAGTGAATTAAAATCGTAAGATAAATTATCAGAATATATATAGTTGACATGGGGGTGAGAGATAGAACAATGGGATTACAAATCGGAAATTACGTAATATGTAGAATTATATAAATTAGGTCAGATATAGTAGATAGGGGGTGGATGATAAATAAATTTCTATAAAAGGTTAGCAGGTGTGATAATAATAATAAAGATAATAATAAGAATAAGAATAATGACTGATAAGATGTGTAGATAAGACTAAGATATAGAAATGAACATTAATCAAATTAATGTCACCTTATTACAAAATTGATTATTAACAAGTTGACCCTGAAGTTGGCCAGGGTAAAAGGAGTGGCTGTACATATTTCTTTTGGATGCAGAGCTCTGGCTTTTTGATCCGAATAGCAATTGCCTCAGCCGTCTGCAGGATTCTCTGTCTGACAGAATTAGGTAGACTGCTATTTACACGATATATTACTGTGAAAGATTGCTCAATGTCGGCTCTATGTCCCGTCTGAACTAAATGGGCTAAAACAGAGCTGTTAACCGTTCTGACTACACCTTTGCTTAACCACACTGGAAGGTGTTCACGAGCCCGAGTATACAAATTCCTAGAACATCTGCCTATATAACTTGCTCCACAGGAGCAGTTGAATTGATAGATACAGAAAGAAGTGGCTAGTCTAGGCAATTTATCTTTCAATGTCGGCGTGATCATTGGGCGTGTGGAAAACATTAGTTGTAGTTTACCTGCATTAAAAGTCCTTTCGAGTGATCTTCGTAGTTTCAATCTTACCATTTCACCAGGTGCGTCACCTCTGAATTGTAGACGTATATACAGAGGTTTTTTATTCACAATTAAACATTCTTTATGGTCTCTTTTATTAGTAATGTTTTTATTTATAAATTTCTCCGGGTATCCATTTTCTCTCAGGGTCCTATATAATGCTTTTGTTTCTTCCTCGACCGTATCTTCAGAGCATATGGTCTTAATTCTATAGTGTAATGTCTTAATTAGGTTCCTTTTGTACTGTAGAGGAACAAAACTAAGAAAGTTAGTATACTGACCCGTCCACGATTTTTTCTTGTTTATATTTCTCCTTAATGAACCGTCTTCTCTCTTTGTAAGGAGAACATCTAGAAAAGCGATCCTACCTCCATTTTCCTCCTCACATGTGAAGTTAATAGACGGATGGGCTGTATTGAATAGCTGTAGTGTCTGCATTAAGTCAGTATAGTCGTTACATAGGATGAACGTGTCGTCCATATATCGGCAATAAAGTGAAAACTTTTCAATCTGTCGTGTGAGTGGTCCGTTTTCTAGTTTCGCGAGAAAAATATCAGCCAATATGGGACCTAGGGGTGAACCCATCGCGACCCCATCTATTTGTCTGTAGATTTCACCATTGAATTTGAAATGTACATTCATAGTACATTTTAGTAGCAATTCTTTGATGGTCTCCACAGGGACTGTAGTTACTACTTCCTGTTCTCTAAGCTGTTCACAAATATATTCTACAGTCTCTCTGAGTGGTACATTTGTGAACAATGACGTTACGTCAAAGGACATCATCTTTAGACCTTTGGTGTTTATGTTTTTAATCTTCTCGACGAATTGGAATACATCCTTAACACTGTGCTTTACTAGTTGTTTGTGAAGTGGTTTTAAAACGGTTACTAACCACTTTGCTACCGTATGGTAAGGAGAATCGTACATGTCTAAAATTGGTCTCAATGGGATATCAGGTTTATGTACCTTCGGTAGTCCGTATAACCTAGGTAAATGAGTACCTGTCGGCCTGATTGATTCATATATGTCTGGTGGAATTATCTGTTGATCTCTGAGCTTTTTTAAAGACCTGGTCAGTTCATTTTCTATCTTAATATTGACATCTTTTTGGTTATTCAATTTCTGAAATTTTCGGTGATCATTCGATCTTATTTTATATGACAAACAATCCTTGATTCACATATTACAGTTTCTTCAATTGATGTACTCTGCCTTAAACTTGGCCAATCTTCTTTTATGGATTATTAATTTATAATTGTAGAACCTGATGAGAAATTATTGAAAAGAATATTCTTCGTTCATATAATTGTTCTAATTACTTTGTTAATCAATGTGCCAGTGATGACAGTTATGATAAGGTTTCATTCCACTCCCTTATATGCATCCAAATAGTAGTGCATTAAATTTCTTTCTTTGGTCAAAAATCCATGACATTAAGTTTAGCTTCCTTTTATAGCATAACCTTAAATTCTTGTGGCTGTATGTGTATGTTCCACCAGTGAGACTCTTCTTTTAAATTTTGTGTACTTAATCTATTCTACTGATTATAGTATGTGTTATCTGATGTATATGTTCATTTTT